CGCCCCTGAAATTAATATAAAGATGCAGCTCAATTAACAAGGGCTCCTTTGCAATGTCCTATGCCTAAGAGATTCTCAACAGATCTCTTCCCAGTCCACAAAGCAGTTGAGTTGGGGAGTAAAGGACCAATTTTAGAGTCAGTTCCAGGGTTAGCATACTGACCCTGCCAAGGCCTGCTCATTGTCTTTACTCTGTAGTCTCTCACTGATAAATGGGACTCACTGATGTCTGTGACAACTAAATCTGATCAAGCATGTAAAACACTGAGAACAGTAGAACTATACAGATACTGGTAATGTTAGCCCCTCGTTTTTCTATTTCTGACTCCCTACCTTTAAAACAAGAGACACCAGTGCCACAGTGTGCTACCCTTGCCAGTGGCCTATTGCAGGGCAGATGGAAAGCTGCAAGCCTCAAGTATTCTAATTGCTTTCAGTCTGTGTGATCTCCTGGGAGCGGTTTACCAACCCTTTCCATAGCTACCAGTTAACTCCTTTGGACTGAGAATATGCGACTCCCCTTTCACACCAATTACACAATGGGAAATGGGAAGTGAGTTCTTCTACCCTAGACTTCTCTTACTCCCTTAGTTAAGGCCTGAAACTTGCCCTGGACCATGGCAGCCCTGTCATTAGCCACTAGGATCCCTCAGCTTCTACCCTCTCCAGTTCATTCTCATTCTCTTGGCTGACACATACCACAAGCACAGCACAAATCACTCACACCTTACAAATATAGCCTCTTACACAAGGAGATTCTTACATAACCTTCTGTACAAAGATCTGACCTTGTAAGTGCTGGGATTGCTGATTTTCAGTGGCTCTGCACTGAAGCAGCCATTCACAGGAAGAGGCTCCTATCCAGCTGACTTGTGCCTGCTAGATGTAGTTCTGATCCTGTGATTCTCACCCTTTGGAGGCTGAGGTAGGATTAGGAATTCCAGGCCAAACTAGGAATAATCCTGTCTCAAAAACAAAACTAGGGCTACAAACTTGTCATGCCAGCACTCAGGAGGTGGAGGCAGGAAGATCAGGAATTCAAGGTCATCCTCCACTATTTATAGCCAGTTCAAGTACAGCCTGTCTCAATAAACAAAAACAAAAACAAAACCCTGCCCCCTGAGTGTGATCACATCACAAACTACTTTCCCAGTGTTACTAATCAGTGTACTCATAGGATCTGCACTTTGGTGCCCACATACACTACGCAGGGTTTCAATTTTTCAAACTGCTTGAAAAAATGCTGCTGCCATCTTCATATCCCTTAAGCAGGCAGTGGGCTCCTTCTGCAGTCTCCTGGCCATCCCACCTAACTTCATTTGTAGTCACTAATTACTACACACTATTTCACAGTACTGAAAACTCCAACTTCTCCACAATTTACCAGTTTGTCTTGTTCCCCTCTGTATTCTCAGTGCCTAGGACCTGGGTAAACATGTAGCGGGTACATCATTTCCCCCTCACAGGGGGTTCACTCACAATACTCAACAAGCTATGTTTAATCTCAAAATCGTGAGTCTGGGGTTTTGAGAAAGGGACTCACTTATGTAGCCCAGGTTAGACCAAACTCAAGGCCTCAGCCTTCCAAATGCTGGTACAGGTTTGTGGCCCCATGATGAGCCTCTTGGCTATTAAGAAATCCCAGTTGGGTGTGGAGGGAGGAAGCAGTACCATTGGTAGTTTTTTTTTTTTTTCCTTTTTCCATTTTTTACCCTGCCCACCACTAACACCATACCTATCCCATACCATTTCTGCTCCCCAGGGAGGGTAAGGCCTTCCATGGTGTGTGTGTGTCTCTTCAGAGTCTTGTCATATCCTTTGGGATAGGGCCTAGGCCCTCCCCTGTGTCTAGGCTCAGGGAGTATCCCTCTATGTGAAATGGGCTCCCAAAGTCCATTCCTATGCTAGAGATAAGTACTGATCTACTACAAGAAGCCCCATAGATTTCCGAGGCCTCCTCACTGACACCCACATTCATGGGGCCTGGATCAGTCCCATGCTGGTTTCCCCAGTCTGGGGGCCAAGAGCTCCCCCTTGTTCAGGTCAGCTGTTTCTGTGGGTTTCACCAGCCTGGTCTTGACCCCTTTGCTCATCACTCCTCCTCCTCTGCAACTGGATTCCAGTTCAGCTCAGTGTTTAGCTGTGGGTGTGTGCTTCTATTTCCATCAGTTGCTGGATGAAGGCTCTAGGATGGCATATAAGTTAGTCATCAATCTCATTATCAGGGGAAACCTGGGTTGCATGATCAAAAAAAAAAAAAAGGGCTAGCAGGTAAAGATGCTTGGCATCAAGCCTGACAACCCAAGTCCAATTCCTGGGACCCACACAGGAAGAACCAACTCCTTCAAGTTGTTCTCTGCCTCCACACAAATGCTGTGGGTAGGGTACACACAAGCACACACACACACATTTTTTTTTCTTTTTGAGACAGGGTTTCTCTGTGTAGCTTTAGAGGCTGTCCTGGAACTTAGAGATCTGCCTGTCTCTGTCTCTGAAGTGCTCGGGATTAAAGGCAGGTGCCAACACCATCCATCAATAAATTAATTTTTTAAAATTAGGGTTCAAAGCCAGGCATAGTGGTACACACCTTTAATCCCAGCACTTGGGAGATAGAAGGTATTTGATGTCAGCCTTGTCTACAAAGTGAGCTCCAGGACAACCAGTTGGGGATAAAAAAAATTGTTCAAATAAGTATGATGACACACACCTGTAGCCCAGTAACCATCACCAGGGCAGAGGTTCTAGGCCAACATGAGTAAGCTACAAAGTTTTACAAAGCTAAAATGGAAGTTCTCATGCTATACTTCTGTAGTAGATACATGTGGAAGTAATGCCCAGGTGTTGCATCTCTTCTTCTTGGAGGTAGGGAATCTTTTCTTTAGGTCCTAGGTACTACCAGCAACGCTAGCTTGTGGCCCCTTCATTTGTCTTCAAAGTGTGCTAGCAACATTAAATTGTCCTGACTCACCAAGTCACCTTGGAAATGTCTCCTTAAACACCCTTAATCACATACACCAAGTCACCTCACTGTCAGGTTTACTTTCACAGGGCCCAGGGACTTACGATGTGTACAACTTTGAGGGACCAGAAAGTCATCTATTCCATCATTTAGACATGTCCAAAGTTTGCAGAACCCATCAAGTATATCAGAGCTTCTGGGAATCTTTAATGGGGGCAATTCTGCCAGGCAGTGGTGGCACTTGCCATTAATCCCAATACTCAGAGCAGAGGCAGGCAAATCTCTGGGAGTTTGAGGACAGTGAGACAAGGTTAAGGCTAAGCTGTGGGACTAATAGCTTATAGTTACCATAGCACAAAGTCATCACTCTGTTTACCATGACAGGGTCTTGCCATGTAGCCCAGGGTAGGTAGCCTGACTGCCCTGATTCCATCCCCCTAGCCAGAGTGCTTACATTACAGACATAACTTAGCACCACAACCAGCTTCCACCCCACTATAACTCTGTTTCCTTAAGACTGAAGTCCTCTAAAGTAGGTTTCATTTTTTAAATTCTTTGTACCTTGGCATCTTATCTAGCTTACCAGTGATTAAAGAGAAATTCTATGATACACAAAGCAGCGAATTCTCCACTTTAAGAGTTTAAAGGAAACTGTAATGCTTTACCCAAACCTATGATGTAAACAAATGAATTCCTATACTGTTGAGCCCAAGGTTCATTGAACCAGAAAATGTATTATCTGTAAGGTCAGGCACATCTTTTTTTTTTTTTTTTTTTTTTGGTTTTTCAAG